AACCGAGAAGCTCTTATGGTTTGGCTGGGATCTCCTTGGACATTTTTTTGCCTTAATTGGGTATCCGATGAATACCCAAATCACTGCTGTTCATCTTGGCCCGGAAGCCTAGTTTTGTTGCTGGGAGGCCAAATGCATTGTGGGGTATCTCTCAGTATAATTAGTGGTTTGTCTGAAGAGGACATTTGGAGGGGTGGGCTGATTTTGGTATCTCAGAGCAATATTTTAAGAGGTCCCCTCTCCCTTCAGCTTAGCTGTACCCGAATCCATCTTCATTCACCGCCCCCTCCCCAACCTGAAAAATCTAGCTGTCTGCCCCTTAGCCAAGGGGGTGGATTGTTTCCCAGTGAGAGAGACAGCTCTTTGAAACGCTCTGTAATCATTGCGAGATGATTCCATGATATACCCCAGGTGTCACCGCCCGTCTGCTTTCATCTCCACGTGCCACCTGCTGGGCCCCACTTCACTTTTGAGGGCCATGGGAGCCATCCAGGTCTTGGTTCTTGTTGTCACACCTGCCCATCAATGGGAGACAGCCGTGGCTCACCGACCTTGCCACGGTATCTCTTGTCAAAGAGGAAGAGAGAAGGGTGCGACCCTCGTTTGGTCATGCCTTCTGTACCACTCCATTCCCACACTGCTGTGTCTGTCAAAGAGAGCTTGTCAGCTCTGGGAGGAAAAACTGAATGGTTCTCCCCAGAGAGAATATCACAGAGCTGAAACTTGAGTTGGAGGGACAGGGGGAATGGTCAAGGGGCTGCGCCAGTTTCTTGTGGAGCTTTATCCAAAATGGCAAGGAATAGGGGAGGGTCACAACCAAGGAGAGTACAATTCCACCTAGTGATGAGAACATTTTCCTGCATCTCCTCCATCGCTAGAAGTTGAGTTATTTCAGGGATGTCTGTTGGTGGGATAGTCACACTGGGTGAAGAACAACACAGCCTGGAGGTTGGGGGCATCTTACAGGCTAACCCAAACCGAAAGAAAAGACTTCTTCCTACAACATGTAGATTAACCATCAACCTGGCTGCCACATGGAGTTTTGAGTCCCATGACTGCTTTAGAAAGAGATTAAATATACAGAGAGAGAGAGAAAAAATAAATAAATAAAACTATCAGTGATGGTGATATATTACCTCCACTACCAAAAGCCATGGAGTTTCCAAGGTAATTTGCAAGGGGGTCTCAAGGGGGAGGACATGAATTCTGCTCATGTCCTGCTTGCATGTTTTTTCCAAGGCTTTGATTGATCGACAGGGGAAGAACACTCTGGCCCAAAGAGCACACTGGACTGACCCAGTGGGGCTCTCCTTTTGATCTTAGATACAAGAACGGATAGCCCCGGCAGCAACTTCTTTGCCCCGTTGCTCAGCCACCAACAATCAAAGCCCGAGATTTAAACTTTCAAAAGGAGAAGTAGCTGGATTCGGAACCTCTTTCACTTTGGCCCTGATTCAACTCAGAAAACCCCAACAGCCACTTAAGATTAGTGATACTGTACAGGACTTTTCCTTTTGCTTCTGAATCTCATTTAAGCAATGTTTTGGGGAGGGGAGGGGCGCGAAGCTTCCTCCCTGATTTATTGCTAAAGGTTCACAGTAAAACCAGACGACTGCCCCTTATTACTAGATTCCTCTTTTAACGTCAAGGAAATTGCTGCCGTTTCATCTCCTTTGGCTTAGAAAAGAAAATAGTAAATTAGCCCGCAAAGAACCCTCTCTGAAATTTATCGGAGCTCCTCCACTGCAGCATTTCAGTCCTCTTCCCCTCTCCCTCCCTACCCCGCATGCCACCGAAAACACTGGGAGTATTGTTAATACCTCTGATCCTTCATCCATCATGCCTGTAATGGAAATAATTACCTGCAAACCACAGAGGGTTCCTCCGTGCTTTGTTCAGAGGTCATCATTCCTGATATACTTTAATAATAATTTTTTTTGGCAATGAGCATGTTATAGAAAATAATTAAGTGCCTCAGCTAGCCCCCCCTCTTTTTTCCCCCCTCGCTCCCTCTCGGTAAAATAGCGGGATTTAATTGAGGCCAACTAAAAGTTAGTGGAAATAAATTGTGGATGATAAAGCAGAGGGTTTAATTTAACTTCAGGTAAGCATCTGTAATTGCCTGTGTTCACAAAGGACAAGAGGTGGGGAGAGAGGGTGGCTCGTTTGTATAATGTGATTTAGGGATGAGCAAATGGCATTTCTGAAAATAAAGCAGTCCCTTTGTACTTATCCAGACCAGATCTTGAGGGGTGTAAATCAGCCACTTTCCCTGGCTCTCGGCAGATAACTTTGACTTAATGCCTGATTGCTGAAATGTTAATTCCACGGTGGAGGCAGATGTAAGATTTTGGAACCCAGCCTGGAAGTGGGAAGAGAACAGAGACTGGAGTAAACCGCAGGTGGAACTCCTAAGGGTTGAGCTGGACATCATAAGGGGCCAGGACTCTGTGAGAACTGCTGGCCCATCCAGTATTGCTGAACTACTTTTCATAACAGCTCCTGTAGTGCGCCATTAAGTGAGTGATACTGGGTGTGGCAGTTTAGCCACATCTGGAGAACCCCAAGTTTCTCATTTCTAGACGCTTGGGCATCACAGCTTGCGTGCCAGATGGTCCTGTGGTTTTCTGTTTGTGAATGTATCACTCTGCTGCGGTGCATTAGAGAAGTGGTGGTGGGAAAGGGAGAACTTGCTAATGAACAGAAAAGTTCTGTATCGTATGTCGTTCATAATACTGAATCTACCTATTTCTGGACGAGTAAGTCCTACACCTCAATAACAAACTCAACCTCCAAGTATCTTAGTGTCATTTAAACAGCACCATCCCCACCTAAGATACCAGAAGGTTTGGGAAAATCACAGGAGGGGGTAAAAAAGCAGATGTGGGATAAACCATAGCATATTGGTGGGTAGGTGAGAGGAAACAGACACCTGGAGAAGGAGAATGCAATGGAGTGATTTAGAAAAGGGCATGGCTGGTTTGAGGCAAAACAGCAGAGAATAAAATGTTCTGATTCTGAAAACAGAGCAAGCATGGGAGGATCTGGGGCTCCTTGGGTAATTTTCTGCGTACAACTTTCCTCTGGGCTTCCCTTTGGCCACTACTGGAATTGGAGGGCTGCCCGTATTTGCTTCCTGCTTATCTCTCAGCAACCTTTTTCGTTGCTACGAAAAACAGGCCCTCTAAGTTACGTGTCTTCCGCAGCAAAGGGAGCCTTAGTACCACACGGGAGGTCTGATGCAAATGTAACCTTCCAAAATGGCACATAATTAAAAACACCTTAACCTGCAATACAAAGCTAAGACACGAAAGCAAACAGTGGTATTCAGAGCCTATATAAAATGCTACTCCAGAGCCCGTTTGTTGAAGGATTGACTAATGTATGTAGTAAACCCTCGGGTCAGCCTGCTGCCTGCTTGGTGGCTACACGTGGTCAAATTTCAGTAGCCCCGGTTTATATTGCTCAGAAATGGCATTTAGGTCTCCGAGAATCAATGAAACGTCAAGCATCTGGACAGCCAGGTGTGCGTGTTTTGAAGGCATCGTAATCATGGTAATGACCACGACAAAACTAACGCGGCAGCGCTCACACCACAGCACAGCAGGCATCAGGATGGGATAGAAGATTCTCTCCCTGCGCGTTGGAGAAGAGATGCCACGTGCCTCCGCTTCACGTTTTTTCCAGTGATTCTTTTGTATATTCCAAGTCCTGCCTAAATATGGACAGGTTGAGAGTGAACCCCCAAGAGTGGCTCAGGAGAAATTAGGTAAGATTTGACGCGCGTCCGGAGAGCAGCCAAGTTTTAAAAAACGAACGCTTCGGCGCTAGCTCAGTTCAGCCATGACGAAACATTATCCAGCCCCTGCGCGGTTTCACATCTCTCCAAGCCCGAAAGAAGGTCAGTCCTTCTCCGTTTTCTCCAGCAGCTCACTTCCCACCTGCAGTCCCTACAACCAAAGAGGAAAATTTGCTCCTTTAACTTTCATAAAGGCCCATCAGCAACTTCCGGATGTTTTCTTGGCCTCCCGATTTAGAAGTACTGTTGAAGGGAGGGGAGAATTTTGACTGAGTGCTCTTTTTTCCAACCACTGTTCTGTTTTAAAAATCAGGAAGGGGCTTTCCTAATGCAGCAAAAGAGAAAACACAGCGTATTAATTCTTTCCAATAATAATAACAATAAGGGAGAAATAACATCATATAAAACAGCGCTGGTTGGGAATAGGGCCAGTAGGATAAATAGTGAAACTGGTGCAGTTTCCACTCCCATCTCTGCTTTATGTGGGCTGGGAATTTTGGGAGCCATAGACCACCCTAGAGGGCATCTGCCTGGAGATTTCTTATTATCAGTAATGTTCCAGATAACCCCCTTAATAAATCACATGTCGCAATGCCACTTGTGCCTTTGATAACTCAAGGTTCTGAGTTGCTGCTTGTAATACATGTAAATAGAATTCAGTGCTTGCTGTAGTTCTTGGATACATAATTCACCGGATCCTCTCTCCCCTCCCTGAATTTTACTCTTCTGCGTATGAGTATATGTGTGGGTATGTGTGTGCTAAACATTTCTAAATAATATTACCTAATATTTTTAGTATAAATCAGGCAAACTATTCATGTTCTTATTGCCGTAGTCATAATTTTTTTTATTTGAGTGTAATTGCTGGCTGGTTTCTTACCTGTGCTGTTCCTTAGGTAGCCAAAACAGGACTACCCACACAAAGCAGGAAACTATCAAAAGATTTGGGAGAGTTCAGAGACTAGCAAAAATGCCAAACTATGTAGGAAGTTTCGGGGGGCGGCCATACAAATCCAGTGGGGTCAGCATGTTTCGTAAGCATGAAACATTCACTTAGTGTTGGGAGGAGGGATTGGAATCCAATAGTTAGAATCCTGGAAAAAGGACTTGCCTTGTACTGTAAATGTATTTGCTTCCAAAAATAATCAGAAAACGAATAGTATCACTGACCCCTAATTATCCAGATCCTTTCTATGGCAGAAGGGAAAGTGAATGTTCCTATTTAGTCATTGTATTCTTCTTTTCCTCCTGTCTCCAGATACACTCTCAGTACCTCGCTGGTCCCCACAAATTCCTCGACGGGATCTTGGAAACTCAATCAAACACAGGTATAACAAATATTCAGGAGGCACCTGCAGAGCCATAGAGATAGTTATTTGTAGTTTCCTCTGCAGGCTGAAAATCAGAAGTTAGATGAGACTGCCCCATCTCCTTGCCCTCTGCCTCTGGGGGCTCAATGTCAGAAAGGGTATTCTCAGACCTTGTACTCGTATCAGGCATGACTGAGCAGCTAGTATGGCACCAGTTCAGAGTCAGGAGAATTCCCTAATGATGAGGAACAAATCTGCCCATGTGAGTTTTCTCCATTCCTTGTTTCTTTTCCCAATCTTAAATTCAGTTCTTCCTGTTCTTGCATCGGTTTAGGACAAAGTTTCTCAACCTTGGCAACCTTAAGACATGTGGACTTCATGGCTGGGGAATTCTGGGAGGTGAAGTCCACATGTCTTAAAGTTGCTAAGGTTGAGAAACACTGGTTTAGGGATTTCTTGGGGAGAAGGAAAAAAGATGGATTTCTTTAGGCTAGAGATGGGAACACATTCCTCCAGCATCTCTCACCATTAAATATGCTGGCTGGAGCTGTTTGGAACTGTACTTAATTCTGGCCTCAGGTTCCCTCTCCCTGCTGTAGACCATTTCATGTACCTTCAGGTCTTCACTCCCACCCCAACAGGTGACAGCAGCCTGTCATTTCAATTTCAGCTCCCAGCTATGGTCAGTAACTGCCCTGTGCTTTATCTGTAACATCTGATTTTCTCTGCTCTGTCCTGGAAGAAGGAAGTATAGGAAAGCCCTTGAGATGGAGACGTGAAGTTCAATTCACAGTACTTTGTGATAGTTCTAGACAAACCATTCCCTTGGGCCTAACACAAGTGTAAGAGCCCAGCACCTGTGAGGGTCAAAGAAAAGAATCACCTCCTCCAATGGTGCCTATTGACCCTTGAATTCATTAAAAGATGGTCAAATGTCATGAGGTTGCCAAATCTCCCCAAGAGATTTTCTAGTGAAACAGCTGAATCTTGTGCAAGAATCTACTAAGAATTTAGCATTCTTGTGCAACGCCTCACCAAAATCTCATGACAATGGGGAAAACTGAGGAAGGGGTGGCCATTCTACCAAACCATGCGATGGGACCTCTGGCTTGAGAAGATTGCTAAGCCCTTGGGTAAGAAAAAGTTCATGACTTTTTAAATCATCTCTTTCCTAATTCCTGCATCTTGACCCTCTAAGGATAGCTATTTATATCCTCCTTGCGTGCTCTCAACAGATATCACTCAGTCTTCCGCTTTCCATGCATCATTGTTATTGGTAGCCATGGATACTTGGGGACAGAAAAATAAAATACTAATCCAAACCCTTAGTAACCATAGTAAGCATCAGGAGAAAATGTGTGCACCAAGAGTTACTCCAGGTGGTGCAGTCAGTCAGGGACACTAGCGTGTTCTGTACTGAAACTGAATTTTAGGCAACCTAATATTTATTTTTTATTTATTAAATCAATTTATGTAATATTCTGTTGGTTTGGGGATATACTGGTTGCAGAAAAGGCTACCGAAGTTCCCATTTGCCCTCTTTGACTTGGGGGAATATATAATTTGTTTGACGCCCTCGAAACTCCCACTTGCATTAAATACTAACTGCAAGACTAACGAAATTGATTTGCATTGGCTTGCTAAAACAAAATCAATACGTAATTCTGATTTGGGTGACGGGGGAGCTAGGGCTGCAGAGATCACGGAAGATTTATTCAATAAGAAATGCTCTCATCCGGAGAAGAAGAAGCTTTTGCAGACTTAATAGAGGTCAATCTCTCACTCTGTCTCTCCAGGTTTTCCACAAAGTATTGGATGTCCCAGACATGCACTGTCTGTGGGAAAGGAATGTTGTTTGGGCTGAAATGTAAAAACTGCAAGTACGGCTCCTTTTTTGTAAGTTGCGCATTCCCCAAACACCTAATATAGCAAACTGTTGCGGCTAGCTTCTGCTTTCCTTTGTGGCAGACATCTAGTCCTTCGTATATCTCCCTGGAGACAAGTGCACCTCCAGAGCATAAGGGGTTGGGTATTTGCTTCCTCCACCCCAGCCCCGGAAGATAGAAAATGGTTTCTGTAGACTAAGCCATCCATTTTTGGTAGTGGGAACGTAAAACTTCTTACGGACACTCCATGAGTTTAGAGATGCCTTGGTAACGCCGTCAAAAAAGCCTAGACCAAGATGAGGGGGGAAAAAAGAGTGAATTGAATTCTGGAACTTTCCACTGATACTTGTCAAGGCTGGGCCTTTGACACCAGAGAGCTGGAAATACTGATTTTGCACAACCGGCCCTCTCTCCGGCTTGATCTGGAAGCTTTTTTGGCCAATAAAGAAACTCCATTGCATTTGTTCTGGAAGGGCGGTGACCCAGTTTGACTACTCCGAAATCCAACCTTCTCTTTCCATGAGCTAAGCCTCAAGTCAACTGTTCTTCTGCTTGATTTCTCCTAGGCTAAAGTGCCACAACAAATGTACCAAACAGGCCCCACCGTGTCACGTGCTGATCATCCACCGTGGAGGTAAGAACCACTACAGTGGCACTTCTCATTCCATTTGAATCCTAGAATGAAACATGTCACAGGCTTTTCTTAGCTTCCTGCCACAAACGCTCCCCTGGCTTCATATATAAAACTCATTTCACTTCTCGGGGTTTCCAAAACCTTTGATTCTTATTCTTCCTCCTTGCAACAACTGCTTCCTATTCCTACCACATTTCTGCTTTCTCCCAAATTCTAGAGGGAAACTTTCTGGTCTTGGGGGAATTCTCCTCCCCATTCAATAGCTCTAGGTGGGCAGGAGCCAGCTAAGAATTTGGAGAGGATCTACCTTTAAAGACACAATGCTTGGGGGCTCCTTGCTTTCTTGTTTTTTATATGACAACAAGGACCAGGAAGATGCTGCAAAGCATGGTTCCCAGGGATACTGGGGTGAGGGGGTGGAGATACAAAAGCAAAAAGCCATTGGCTGTCAATATCTAAACATAAGGCTACCTCTTCTCCTCAGTGAAAAGTTTTACTCCTATAGTTTTCTAAAAACATTTATAGAGCATCAACCAGAATATCCTTTGGTCCATTCTTCTTTCTACTGGATCCTGGTTAAATATCATAGACTTTGTTTTGCTGAGTGTGCAGTACACCTTCTCAAATTTTCAGCTTGGATTCCTTGCTGTCTCCCCTCCTTTGGAGGCATCTGCAGAGATTGTGAAGATGTGTGAGTGCCCAGTCGGATGCTTGAATAGGGATCTGTATATTGCCTGGAAGGGTATCTTCCAAGGTGGCCATCTTGGCATGTATGTCAAATTTCACTGAATTCCGTAGTCTTTTGTGACCTGATTTAAAGAATGCACTAAGCTATGTTGAATAAAACATAATTGGCAGAACATTCCCACCATGTGGGAAACCAAGAACAAGGCTTGAAAACCACAGGGGCTAAGTTCGCAGAACACACGGAGCCAAGCCAAGCATGTCCATCAGGGCAAGGCTTAATGTGCTGTATGAACTCCCAGTGCCCTTCCTCATTGCTGCGCTGGCCAAGACAGCTGGGAGTTGTACTTCAGCAGCACCTGGAGGGCTGCAGGTTGTCCTTCTGTAGTATCAGCACTGAACTGGCTGGACCAGTCATCCGACCTGGTGTAACAAATCTCCCTTATGTCCCTTCCCAGGGGCTTGCCAGGGGCATATTTACTTGCCCCCTAGAAAAAAAAAAAGCTTTTTTTTGGGATTGCTCTCTGGAAAAACAGCCCCCTTCTTGGCAAGAGCAGCTTCATACATATGGAGCAGAAGACTCTCAGGCCCCAGAAGGAAGACTTCTCTCCTAAACAACAGCACTTCCATTTCATTAAAGTTTTCCATGCCAAGGCGATTACCTAGAGGGGGAAAGCTGAAACATCCAGGCTCAGAAAGATGCATTTCATTTAGCTATAATGAGGCTGTCACCGTTTCCAGCTTCCACAGTGTACCTTTGCTGAGAATACAGTAGCTACTATTCTGCTTTGGTGACCTTGGTGCCAATGAAAAGAGCAGGCCTCGGTGGTCACACATCTGGAAGGGGTCTTGTTGAGGGTTCAAGGTCCAAACCTCATTGTAATTTCTTCCAGTGAGTAATCTGTGTTATAGCTTATTACTAAAGGCCACTGCCATCATAGACTGAGTTCACAGATTGTACTAAGACATGGCTTATTGAACTATGGCTTGCTGAATAAACCACAGCTGTCCATATTCACATAACATAACATAAACTTAACAAACCAAACAAACCATGTTATGGCTTAGTATGTTTTATGAACCAAGGCTGTTTGAGAACGATTTCTCCTTTTCCTCTTCCTCTTCCTCCTCCTGCTGCTGCTGCTACACCTAATTACAAACAATCTATGGGCCCTTCTCACAGATTACAACCAATTTAGGGATAAAGTCCTTAAGTAGAAGGCAAAGTTAGACAAAAGAAAAATCAGTCAAGATAAGCAAGGTTGGAGAAGTTGATTTCAAACTTCTTAACACCCCAATCTGTCTACTGAGAGGCCAATTTCACTTAATTCACTGGGGACTTATATGAAGTCAGCAGACATAGGACCAAAGCCTGAATGAAGAGACAAATGAGGATCATCAGATGTTGAATTAAAATGCACCCTCAAGATAGGACACCATAAGCAATAGTGATGGAGAAAAAAAGTAATGGATGTGATGTTCACCTGAAGATTGGTACCAGCAAAGCAAAGTGTTCAGAGAAAGGATATATATTGTGAAAGAAGTTGGACAGAGAGGAAGAAGTGTACTGGGGCAATTTTAAAGAATCTAAAAGTGGAAGAGATTTGTAAAAATAAATGCAATGCAACCAGGAATCTTGGATGAGAATCCAGGTCCCAAGATGGGCTAAAATATTAGGGGAAAAGATCCTTGGCATCAACAGTAGGTTTTCACGAAGGGGACAGGAACACTCCAACAGTCTGGAGTTCAACTTCTTAATTAACCATCTGGAAAGGACAGCCAATGGGTTGATGGAACAAAATGATTTGCAGTGGGTCAGCAAAATATTACACAAAAGGATCTCACAAACGTTGTGGTATGGCAGTCAAACAGTAGAAGTCATACCGATTATTGGAGTCCAGATTGATAAAGGGCAAAGAAATATTCATCTCATGTAAAGAGTCTGAAGGATTTGTGCAGACTGAGCAGAATCTTTCCCAGGAACAGGGTGGCTTTTATGAATCGTGAAGACAGCATAGAGTGTAGCGTGTGACAACAGCCCTGATAGCAGGTCAAAGAACTGGACTGATTCTCCCATGTTCCACAGTCTCCCACACATGTACATATTATTTCTGTGTGTGACTTTTGTCATCCTTAACATCTGGGAGATGCCAGGTTGGAAGAGGAGACATAGCTCAGTGACAAACCACATTTTTTGCTGCTTCATTTTACGAAAAGGATTCATTAGTTTTATATTCCTTCACATTTCCTCCTGAGCTCAAAATGATGTTTATCAGATTTCCTTTTCCAACTTTTCCCCTATACAGAAATCCTGTAAACTGGGTTGTTCTGTGACTGTCCAATGTTAAACTTGAAGGTTGGTCTCCACTGCTCTAAACGGAATACCTTAATTACCAGATTACGCTAAAATTTTGGTGCTTCAAGGGGAGGTGCTCATAAAATTATAGATTGCTAAGTGTGGATTATCTTGTTCTGCCTTTCTTTATTTTCATTTTCCTTTTCTCCAGCCTTTTCTCTTTCTTTCTCTCTCTTTTTTTATTCAGCAAGATTAGTCCGGACAGAATCTGTGCCATGCGATATTAACAATCCGCTGCGGAAACCCCCCAGATATTCAGATCTGCACATCAGCCAGACACTTCCCAAAACCAATAAAATCAACAAGGTGAGATATTGCAAAGTCACACAACCGTGGAGTTTCTCTCTGATTTAGTCTTACAGGTAATGTAATAGTAAATTAGGGAACACAGTGATTCTAATTTTTTTCTACTGTAGAAAACAGTGGATCTAGAACAAGGATTTAGAACATCAGTGGTTTAGGGTTCAGTTGTGTTATGACTGCAGGGGATTGAAAGGAAGGGCCTGTGCCTGGAAATCTAGAGAACCGCTGAACAGGACAGAATGGAAAATATGCTATAGCAAATCTTCTGTTTCTTGTATAAGAAGATTTCTAGGAGTTTGGGTTTTTTTGCAATATAAAAGAATGTAGCACATTGATCACCTACTCTGCTATTTAAGATGATGAGGTGCTTCATACACTTTGCTAAGTCAAGTTTGTTTAACCATGGTTTGTAGAGTAAACTACAATTGGCTGTTTGTATATAATATGTAGTGATAAATTGTGGTTTACAGAACTCTGGGGCTGGGTTCATCAGGGCACTTTAAACCAAACCAAATGAATCACATTATTACTGAACATGATCGTGAACCCAACCTGTTTGTCCTATGGTCAGGAGCGCTGATAATGAACCACACTTTACAAGTCACATTGACTGAGTTCACGCTATACTCTAATCCAAAAACAGACCTAATTCTAATTTCTGTCTTCATCACAGTCTCCCAAATGCTTTGCCAATTTGTCTGATTAAATATTTGCTGGGCTGGTAAAGCAAAATCAGACTTTCATATTATAATAAATAAATCTAAAGGGAGAGGGTTAGGGACCAACCAGTTTCTTTTAGAGTCTCCTGAGCTTAATCCAGTATGTATCACCACAACAGAGTGAAACATACTGGATTAATTCCATGGTGGGTTTAATTACCTAGAGCAGTGTTTCTCAACCTTGGCAACTTGAAGATGTGTGGACTTGAACTCCCAGAATTCCCCATGCTGGCTGGGGAATTCTGGGAATTGAAGTCCACACATCTTCAAGTTGCCAAGGTTGAGAAACACTGACCTAGAGCACTTCTCTCTATGAACCTCCAGCTTCTGTTGCCCTGTTTATGTCACTGTGACATTATTGAGTTAAAACCCTGCTTTAAGCCTAATGTATGAAAAGACACTCCTTTTTGTTGCAAAAGCTCCTTGTGGCTCTTGATCGTGGAGCTGTGACTGGAGAAGGAAAAGGCAGCTGGCCAGACGGTGCTGAGGCTGGGGTCAGCCAGCAGCCACCGCGACACTAGACCATTAGGAGAGGCCAAGGTTGGATTCACAACTCTGCTTCTGTGCCAGCAAGTTCCTAAGAAACACCGGCAGAATTGGAGCATGGCTGTCATAACTTGGACATTAGAAGTCTGGCCCCCCCAAAAAAAATCAAAAAGATTTCAGAGTTCAGATTGAAATGGGCCGTACTTTTTTAAGAGTGAAGGAACACACCGTCCGGTTTCCCATCTTGTTATTTCATCTCACTTCATGCTCCAGCAGTCTACAGCTCGGTCTTGGTGCTTTAAAGTTGCATGCACAGCTAACTGCATTTTCATTTTCATATCCATAGGAATGGGAGCAGTTCGGTTGCTGTCCCTTTCAAATTTTACTTCCCCCATTTCCTGTGTTGTTCATTTAGGACCTTGTTTACGGGGTTCTCTGGATGAACACTGATTTGGCGCTTCTCCTTTCCATTAAAAAATGCTTTAGAGAGGGGAAAAGAGATTCTTCTGAATCGTACAAGGAATAACTCACTGATAATGCTCAGAGAAAGATGAAAAGGCTTTTACGGATGGATGATATGAACACTGGCCAGTCAGTGCGATGGAACTCTGTCCCCTACTGAAACCCTAATCCAGTTTTCCTTGAGCTTAGTCAGGGGGAGACTAAGTTGTTGGGAGCCAGGCGGTGTACAGATCGAATTAAATAAATAAATAAGTAAATAAGTGGAATTACATGGGCATCTTTGGGGAGGAAGGCAAGTGATAGTACATGCATCAATGTTGTAATGAGGTATGTGATATCATAATGGCATCTACTGGTTGCCTATGCATGCATTTACATGTGGCTGAGTTGCAGTGACCATGGTTCCCGACGTTGGACTGGCTGCTGAAAATATGCCTGATCAAACACACCCCTCCAGATTAAAGAGGGGAGAGGTCACAGCAATCAGTTATATCAAGCCTGTTGACCGGAAAGTTAAAAATCTCCGGCTTTGTGAACAAAACGCTTGAGAATTTCCATCTGCCTTTGGAAATGAACCAGCCTGATGTCACCTCGCGATGTACCGTACAGATTGTTTCACCCTGCCAGTTTCACTCCACCCCAAAGTTTGCCACAGATTTTGTTTTTATTTTACTTTAAAAATGTATCCCTGAAAAACAATCCGGGGGCTAAAGTAGGTCTGAAAGGGTGTTCTTGTCTCGAGAAGCCAATCAACCGCCCTTCAGCCACAAAATACACCTTTCCCAAAGCTTCTCTTTGGGCCTGTGTGTTTTAAGAAAGGAAACAGATTCATGGTGGGACTTGGAAGGAAGAAAGGTCTAGATCAGTGATTCTCAACCTTTTTGAAGCTGCCGCCCCCCTAAGGAGCGGAAAATTT